CAGACAGTATCATCCACAACATCATGTGGAAAATATCAGAAGACTATTCCAATGGCATCTTCTACTTGAGTCTTTGGCCTTTTAGCGGCACCATGATGATTCTCGCAGACGCTGACGCGGCGTCGCAGCTCGATAGCCTGGCTCTCGGTAAAGGGCTCGACATAATCGACCCCATTGAGAAGGTCACTGGTGGAAAGAGCCTGTTGACCATGAAAGGAGATGAATGGAAGCACTGGCGACGCTTGTTCAATCCGGGTTTCAGTGCCGGGTACATGATGGGCTTGACGTCTGTCATCGCAGATGAAGTGGGCATTTTTCGTCAGAAACTTCTGGCCAAATGCACAACCGGACAGAGCGAAGTGTTCTTACTCGAGGATCTGACCCTGAAGATGACCTTCGATATAATCGGGTCTGTTGTGCTGTAAGTAACGTGACCTTTCATCGGAGGTTAGGTAGGAAACTCCGTGCAGCATGCTTACTTATGCGGTGACAGAGATACTCGACTTGGTCATCAGACGCGGGATCACCCTTTAGCAGCTGCTCTTCGAAAGCAGATAGAATGGACTTCCTTCCGCGAGCCGCTGAACCCTTTAGAAAAATATCTCACAATCCGTCCGCTCGTTCTCTGGCTCAACGGGAGGAAGTTGGATCGTTATCTATCTGCGGAGGTCGATAAGAGACTTGCGGAGCGTTCTGCAAATCTGTCCAACTCAAACGACACAACGCGCTCGAAGTCGATAGCTTCGCTTTTCATCGATGATTATCTTAAGGAATTGGGAGAGGAAAATCTAGGCAAGAGAGAGAACCCGGACACCACGCAGAAGATCAAACATATCATCACACCCCAGGTACGACTTTTCCTGTTTGCAGGTCATGATACGACTAGCAGCACCCTGTTGTACTGCTATTATCTCTTCTCCCAGAACCCGGAGATCATGTCTCGCACCATAGCCGAACATAACGAAGTCTTTGGAACAGACCCATCACAGGTTCAGGATAAGATTCACAAGGACCCTCAACTTCTTAACATGATACCCTACACCGTGGCGTTCATCAAAGAGGTTCTACGCATATTTGCCCCGGCCGGTGCTATGCGTCAAGGACGTTCCGACGTCCAGATAGTCGACGCGGACGGCCGCGTACTCCCCACAGAAGGTTGCAACGTCTGGACTCTTGTGCAGGCTATACATCACAACCCCAAGTACTGGAAAGATCCTGATGCTTGCATTCCTGAGCGTTGGCTCGTTGGCTCGGAAGACCTATTATATCCCCAAAAGGGCGCCTGGCGGCCATTTGAGTGGGGTCCACGGAACTGCATCGGGCAGACGTTGGCGATGCTCGAGTTGAGAATCGCGCTGGTCATGACTGTGAGAGAGTTTGTCATCAAGCCTGCGTACGAAGACTGGGATAAGCTTCATCCTAAATCCGGTATTCGTAGCGTCAAAGGTAATAGGGCGTATCAAGCAGTAAAGGGCGGGGGCGGGGCACATCCGGCAGATGGATTCCCTGTGAGGATTGGCCTACGGAATTGTTGACTAATGAATAAAAGCACGAAAGTTTGAAGCCACATTAATACTTCCTCAAGACTCGGTCGTATCTACACATAAGCATTGCTTAAAGGTTCGTCAGTGCCATCTCATGTGATAACGAGGCAGCTTTTCTCCCATTATTCGGGCCGAAGTTGTGGTTGTCTCAAGGATTAGGTGAGGTTTCCTGAGTCTCTGTCGGAACGAGGCACTTAAATGGTTTATAATATTGGCTGGAGAAGTGCTACGCGACTCCTGACGTCGGCTTATTATGTGAACTATATTTATGTAAGTGACAGAAGGATAACTGCCAGAAGACTCCTCAAAGTGGGAATGCGCTTGTCCTCGGAGACTTTTAATTGCTTTTCGGATTTTTATCTAGAACGCTTAGTCCGAGGCAAAGATGCACGGTCGAAGTCTGAAAGACCCGCATCTCAGGGGAAACGTCAACCCTGCCTTGATCGCGGATATATCCCGCTTCACACGGGGGAAACCCACATCCTTCAGAGATGGAGGAGTCGAAGGATAGGTTGACAGCGGACCACAGACGGCTCTTGAACTATAACATATGGGGTGTCTCAGTGCCCGATGATGAAAAGCTCGGCCGCCAGAGTTAAGGACCACGCATTCCATGGCGATATCGCCGGTATGCCGCATTTCGCAGTCTGCAGTCCTGCGTCCTTGAGGTGGGTTGTATCCGGATGCGCCAAATTGCGGGCTGGCTTTTGTCGAAACAAGTGGAACTGGTGATAAAACAGCCCATGGTGTCCTGTGCTGCTATCCCCGCTACATGAATCAGATAACGTCGATGTCACGAACCAATCTGTGGCGAACTCGGTGGCTACTATGGAGTTTATTGTGAGCGCTTGGTGGGCCTAGCTGCGTGGCATCACACCCGCCGGCTTGCAAGCCCAGGGAAGATTCATCTCCGGGGCCCGTGAGCTTCCCGCTTCAATGATACCCATCTGGATTCTTGCGGTAAAACGACGGACTGCACAGCTCTAAAGTTCGGCTTAGCATTATATCGCAGATCTCAGCTTGGGAGATGTCCTGATATATAAGAGCTTCATTTTCCTCCACTCGTTCGGTATCGGGAGCTTTATTCTGGTCATCAGCAGCATCGAATAACATATCTTTCCTAACACCTACAACAAAGTGTCAAGTTTCCTCCATATCATAACCATGGCGATCCAAGATGAGAAGCGCCAGGTCATCATCGTCGGCGGTGGCATCACGGGCCTGACGATGGCGTTGATGCTACAGAATCTCGGAGTTGACTATGTACTTCTCGAGGCTTACGGCACGGTAACTCCCAACGTCGGAGCTAGTATCGGCTTGTTCCCCAACGGCCTTCGAATCCTCGATCAACTCGGATGCTACGATGACATTCTCGCCAGAGGTCAGCCCGTTGAGGAGCATATTGTAAGGAACAGCATCACCGGCAAGCGCATCATGACCCGCAAGTCGAGGAGCCTCATCACTAAACGACACGGCTACCCGAACATCTTCATGGAGCGTTTCGAGCTTTTGAACGTGTTGTACGAGCACTTGAAGGATAAGAGCAGAATCTTTGTCAACCAAAAAGTCAAGAGAGTAGAGAGTCTCAAGGACAGCGCCTTGGTCTACACCAGAGACGGCTCCGTCTTTGAAGGGCAAATGGTGGTCGGCGCAGACGGCGTCCGCAGCACAACCAGACAGGAAATGTGGAGGAACGCGGACGACAACAACGACTCCAGCGCCATTCCGGCCCGCGACAGACAAAACATCCCCTGTGAGCACGCCTGCATCTTCGGCACCGCTAAGCCCACGGCCGGCGTGGGCCCCGGCCAGGTCGTCGGCGCCAGCGGCCACGGCACAGTGGCCGGCTGTATGGGCGGCCCCAGCGGCGAGGTCTTTGTCTTTTGGTTCTGGACGCTGCCCGAGGGCCAACGTTCGTACCCAATCGACGAGATTCCGCGGTTCACGGAAGAAGACAAGAAGCGTGAGTTCGGCCGCAGCGTCGACACCCTTGTCGCCGACAACGGCTTGCGGTTCCGTGAGGTTTTGAAGAACCTCGAGTACAGCGGCGTCACGGCCCTCCCGCACTTTGTGATGCGACGGTGGCACTACGGACGTATCGTCATCCTCGGCGACGCGGCACACAAGTTCAATCCGCTCGTGGGGCAGGGTGGCAACAGCTGTATCGAGTCCTGCGCCTCGCTGGTCAACGCCCTCCAGGAACAGAACATTATCGGCAAGGGTGTCTCTGCTGCGGTAAGCTGGAAGTTGTCCAGTCTGGAAACTGCGTTTGTGACTGTTGAAGAGCAGCGCGTGGAGAGGTTGGCATTAATGGTCGAGCAGTGCCAAGAAGCCATGCGCATGTCTGCTTGGGATACCTGGAAGGGCCGCTTGGTGCAACAATACGTTGCGCCCCTCCTCCCGCTCGCCAGATGGCTCAACTTCTACAGCGACCAAATTGTCGGCGGCCTGAGTTTGAAGGGTGTGAAGCCGCCTTCTTCGGGCCACGAGTGGCTCTACAGCGACGAGAAGACCGTGGAGGAGAAGGCCATGACTCTGAGCAGGGCGAGCGTCATCGCTACGATTCCGGTCGCTGCTGTGACTGCTTTCATGGTAGCGCGCATTCTACGCCAGGAAAATGGGGCTGGCGGGTCGGTGCTGCTCTCGCGGGTGATGGAAAAGATTTCTAGTTTCCGATGATGGAGTCATTGGAGACGCGGGGGGCTGAGGTTAGGGTGCTCCCTGGTGCTACACCCTCAAACAACTAGATAGCCTGTTTTTTTCTCTTTCATTACAGCATTGTTCATCACTTATACATTGTCTCCTTCGATCCTTTGTTATAACATTAGACCATCAGCAACACATCAGCGTTCAATAGTAGGATACTTGCCTCAAGTTTGATCCCGGCCCAGATCAGTGCTTGCAACATCAACCTTCTTAGCAGTGGAAGGATAAAGTGATCATGGACCTAACTCTCGACACAAGACTTACTCATTGGCCTTCACCGTTTTATCAGAGGCACATGATGTGAGAAAAGTGTTGGCGCCCGGGTCCTCGTTGCCCGATTTGACGCCGCCATAACCTACTTTCAGACCACAACGGTTCGAGGCGTTGAAATCGTATGCCGCACCAAACTTACACCTCTCGACGTCAAATGGAAGTACCCAACGGGCCATCAAGGTGGGGCAGTATATATATAAGCACTTTCTGGAGACACTCCAGACATGCTGCAAAGACCCATGGAGACTTCTTGGAGCAACACTGCGTCTCCCCCGGATGTCGCATCGTCGACCAAATTTTGCCGTCTATAAGACAATTCCATCTCAAACACACACTGAAGTAACAAAAGTACCCCGATCTCCAACAAATTACACACATTGAAACCTAACAGACTGGTAAAAGACAGATAACGGCATTGCCCTCCATCTTACCTAGCAGAGCAAAAACCGTGAAGCACGGAAGACAGTAACCACCACAATGCGCCTCACCCTAGCCTTCATCCTCGCCCTTACCCTTACAACCTGCGCCGCCGACTACATCGTAGTCCAAACCCGCTGCCGCTCCTGGGACCCAGCCTCCTGCGAACGCCAAGACAGCTTCTTTCACTTCAATGGCGGCCGGCAGTCCATCAACGCCAATCAGGGCTGCCGCAACGCGCACTCCCGAAGGCTCCTGATATCCATCTGCCTCGACTACGAGACGAAGCGCGGGCACTTCCTCTACTCGCATCAGGACATCCGGTGCCTACGGCTCCTGCCTAAGATTGTTCACCAGCGGTGCGGGCATGGGTGGTTCCGGTGCTATAGCGGGATGTGGGACGAGACGCCGTGTTTGAAGAAGCCGGAGGAGGTGCCGATGGAGGATATCGAGACGTGATGGGAAGTTTTGTACTCGTTGGATTTGTTGCTAGGGGGCTTTGGGGTGTTTCTGGGAATTGGTATTGCGTCAGAATGAATGGGATGGTATATCAGTTTGGACGGGGTGTTGGCTCAGGCGATGAACAGACTTTGTGGGAGCTTCGCCAGGACTATGATATTCAATCGGACATAATCAAGCCTCCAACAATAACCTACAAGTAGTTGAATATTAATTCGCGACTCAATTCGACCGGCCGTTGTGTATTACTTGCCGGCCCAAGCTGGATGATGCTCCACTCTTTCATCTGAAGGTCTTCGAAGGTCGTCAATACTCCTTGGGATGGGGTGAGAGGTACTTAGGTCTGAAAACCTCCAGTCCATTCATAAAAGGTCGGGGAAAGGTGGCCGAGAGGTATGATGGGGGAGTCTTTGTACTAACTTGGAAGTCCTCGAGCCACTGTCAACCTGACCTTTTGTTCGATCCCCTATCGATGGCCTTTTTTACCTGTTTTTCTTCTCTTAAATTCGTAACGCAAGACATCTCCCTTACATGTCTAAGAATTAAAGATCGTCAACAAGTAGTCATCACACACACGTGAATGGACAAATGAAAGCAGGGACGAGATGTAGATATTTATGTACCACTTGGGGACAGAGGCATAGAGTGAAACCAACGCGAATCCGCGATGTGGGTATAAGCGAGATATAGAAGACTTGGCCGCTATCTAAGGTGCGGCTGTGGCCGTGTATCGTAATGACCAAGGGAGGTTAGGAGTAGGCATCGTCGGTGGAAGATCATAACTTTGAGTCGCCCGATGAAGGCTTCTCCTCTTTCTCTACGCTCCCGGAGGCTTCTTGTGCCGTCGTAGAAGCAGAAGCCGACTCAGCCTTCGAACCCGCCGGCGACTCCTTGTCCACACCAGCAGCAGGCGCGGACGTCTCCTCATACCGAGAAACCCCACTCAGCAACTCAGCGCTCTTGGGATCCTCGTGTTTCATCTCAGCCACAGGCGCAGAAGCGTCGAAAACGATGGCAACCTCGTCGAGAGGGGTGGCGGCCCCCTGCGCCGCAAGCTGGATCTTCTTCTTGGCCTCGATCCGGAAGTCCTTTGCGTCCTGCGGTGCGCCTTCAGATCCGTTGACGGTTCTCCCCTCGCGGCCGCGATCGTCCTTGATGTCCGTGCCGATCTCGCCCCCTTGCCCCTGGATTGCCTTGGACATTCTCTGGACGACGCCCTCGGGGATGCTCTTCTGCGCGTCCTCGGTGTCGCTTCCGCCGTCTTGCCGTAAAGGAAAGCCGACTTCTTCCGTTTCCTTGGTATCCTCCGTGGCATCCCCTTCCTTTTCGTCGTCCTTGTCGTCGTCGAGCTTGAGCGCCGTGTCGACACCCTCGGTAACTCTCCGAATCTCCTCCTCCAAATCATCCTCGCCTTCGCCAGCGGCTGACGCAAGCTGCCTCTCGGCCTCCTTTTTGCCCACAATACCGCGCCAGAGCGCCTCTAGCTCGTCGCCCCAGCCAAGCAGGGCAGCAAGCTTACGAACCCCAGCATCGCACGTCCCCAACTCAACAACGTCATCCGCCCTGCGACCCATCTGTCCCACCCGTTCCCTGTTGAGCAGCAACCGCGGCACGCCAGATTTCGAAGCCTCGGCCAGGCCAGCAAAGGGGTAGACCGAGAGACTTGTCCCCATGACCACAATCAAATCAGCCACGGCGGGCAGGTGTGTATTATCGCGGAACGCCTCCGGCAGCGCCTCCCCAAAGAAGACGATATCCGGCTTCACGAGCCCGCCGCAGGAATCGCACTTGGGCACGTTTTCGTCCTGGACATGCTTCTCCATCCGGTCGGCGGGGAAGGGGTCCTTGCACTCGATGCAGCGCTGGGTGGCGAAGCTGCCGTGCGCCTCGATGATCTTATCGTCCGGCACGCCGGCACGCCTCTCGAGGCAGTCAATGTTTTGTGTAAAGTTCATCTGCAGGAGACCCTTCTTCGCGAGCAGGGCGATGAAGGCGTGAGAGACGGTGGGGTGGAATTTTCCCGGGTAGAGCTCTTTGGCGAGGTAATAGAAGGGCTCGGGGTGCTTGCGGAAGTAGGAGATGTCGAAGACGGCTTCGGCGTAGGGGAGGTTCAAGCGGGCTAAGTTGGCGTAGAGGCCGGTGCCGGGTGACCTGAAGTCGGGGACTGGGTGGTGATTGTGTTAGAAACTTGCGCAAACTTGGTCTCAATCGTCAAGGGAGGGCGCATACTGCCAGCGGCTGTGGAGATTCCGGCGCCGGTCATGACGGCAATCTTTTTCGCATCGCCGGATTTGATGTAATCAGAAATGGCCTCCAGCGAGCGCGACTCGAGCGTCTTGGGCTGGACGCTGTCGTCTAGCATCGTCGACTCCTCGTTACCCATCTTCTTGCGCGGCCGGTTGGAGTTGGGCCGGCCCTTGGGATGTTTCTCGCGGCGTCGGCGGCCTATGATGGGCAGGTTGGCGGGGTTGGTGGGTAGGGGTGGCGGGGAGAAAAAGTCAGGTCGTGCGGTGCGAGTTGCCGTCTATCTTACTGTCGAAGAGAGAGAAGTATACCAAAAGCGCCTGAGGTATTTGTCGCGTACTATAAGAGAAGCTCTAGGTTTGTGTTTCGGTCAATGTGCGAGTGTAGCCTAGAGTGGATGGATGGTAGGTAAGAGGCAGCTATCTGCCTCGCCTGCGACTCACAAAAAAGTCGTTGGTTCGCTTCGCCGTTACATCATGCGGCGACCCCACCCCCGCCATCCCTCAGCGTCGTTCTCGGGCGTTTGGAGCTCTTATCGTTATCAGATGAGCCCTACAGCGGTGGCGGACATCGCGGGCCAAGACCGGGAATACGGGCAGGTAGCTTGGAATGGCCAGTCAATGTCCATTGGGTGTAGATTCCCATCTACCTGATCATGACCTCGAATCTTGCCATCTCCCTTCTTTACTCGCAGCAACTTTTTATCTCGATGAATTTACCCGTTGTACTTTGTCAAACAGAAAACTTGAGGATGACGAGAAATTGAGGATAACTGTATTTGGTATGTGCATCTCTCTATTCTAATGGACATGTATTCCGTGCATCGACGTCTATCCCTCTAGACAACAACAAGGTAGGTATCTATCGAATCTTGTCTCTAGGCAAACGATAGGCAAACGCGATCGCAGTACCAGCAATAGCCATGACAGTCGCGGCCATATACGGCAGACCGAGCCATATGCCTCCTGCCGAGTTGCCAGCTTTCAGCAAGCCCGAAATCACCGGAGCCGAAACCAACAGGCTCACTTGTTCCACCCAGGTGATTGCCGTGTTTAGGGTACCTATCGTGTGCGGCTCGACTACGGCGTTGAGGATGGCTCGGCAAATATTTGTGTAAACGGTGCCCATGGAGAAAATGATGAGGGCTGATGTGAAAGATCAGCATATCTGGGTGATTGAGGACCGGAACCAGCCCGATACAGATGGCAAGGTAAAGAAGGCAAACATACCAGTAATTAGAAACCAAGGCGCGAATGCAATGGCGACCATGAAGCATCCGACAGCCAGGAGGATGCCGCTCATTCGGGTGAGCCAGAGATCCCGAACTAGAGGATGCACTCCCGTACGCTTGGTGATCAGCCAGCTCAGCGCGGGGAGAATGGCGAGCAGCATGACCATGTTTGTAACCGTCGAGACAGTTCCCAAGAGCGTTGCCTGCGTGTCGCAACGATTTGTCAGATAACGAACCCCGTGGTGTGTGGCGGAGACGGCGCGACATCGACTTACTTTTGCCCAAGACCAGCCCAGCAAGTTGTGCACGTATTGCGACATGATGTCTATCTTGACATACTTTACGATAACTGTGAGATTGAAGCCGAGGACGAGGGAAATCACGCTCTTGGACTTGATCAAAAAGGTGTAGACATGGCCCATGTCGTTCTTCACGGCGAAGATGATCTGCTGCTTGAGTGTGCGCTTGTCCCTCGCGTCTTCCTCGGACCGCGAGAGTGTCTGCTCGACCTCTTGATCAGCGGCGCGGCGGAGCTCTAGGGTTTCTGGGATGAAAGGCGGCAGGCATGTGCCGATGATTAAGAGGACCATGCCGACGCTGAGAGGCAGCCATGGGTTCTTGCTCAATAAATAGGCGCTGAGAGGCGCAACTACAAGCTCTCCCGCAAGCGCGATTGCGCCAATCTTGTAGTAAACCGCGGTCCTATCACACGTGAGCTTCTGAATGACTGATCTCGGCAATGGACAAATCTTACAGGCTGGAAATGGGGACGACGTCAGAGATCATGGTCCAGGTCATGGCTTGAATCATGCCTGCGCCTCCACCTATGAATTGGAAAGCTGCTCCAAACCACATGGTCCAAAGAGGGAGAATATTGGGCCACAGAACTGTCTAATGAGCAAATTTCACCGGTAGAAGAGGTATGTTCATAACCTACGGGGCAGCAGCATCCAGGCAAGCTCCAGCGTAATACCTAGCATGGCCAAAGATAGGACTGGTCGGCGGCCATACTTGTCCGCAATAACTCCGTAGGGAATCGCAGTGAGCAATGCTGCGAATACAATAATTAGCCGGCGCTGACAGTTGGGGTTGGAGGGCGGGACATACACGGGACGCAGTCAAATGAGTTTTGCCAGCCTTTAATCATGGCTAGCTGGCCTTGTACATCCGGCCCTTTGCATACATCGTCATCCTCGGCCGAGATGATGTGGTCGGGGCAGCGTTGGCGACAGATAATTTCTTCCATGAGCTGATATGAAGGCGGGATCTGAAGATAGGCGCCAACTTCGACGATAAGAATAAAGGTCATTGCCAGACCAATGACCTTTAGCTGGTATCTACGGCTTGGGGCGACTGTGGGTGGCAAGTCGTGTGACAATAACGGCGTCTCTTCTTCAGGCCTGCTTTCGATGTCGCCATTGCGGTCGTCAACCGCTTTAGTGGGTGCCATCTTGATCTTGGAGCATATGTCGTCCGTGACGACTAAAGAGTGTTTAGAAAAGACGAGGAAGCCGACAGAAGAAAGAAAGTTGTATATCTTAAGGGAGTGTGAAGAAGTATAAGTCTGTGGTGAAGCCAGAGTCTCAAACATCACCAGGCGCGGTGCCGAGGGAGGTGGATTGGTCAATCCTTCCCGGAGAGGAAGGTCGATGAATGAGATGCAAGCGTCGCGTGGCTAACCAGTCGGCGGCCTTTAAGTGTAATACGGAGGAATTGGACCCTGGTCGTGGACCGCTCAAGTTGGCCAGTCCCTGTGGGCACGCTGAACCAACGACAAATGCGAGTCAGACTGCCTGCTGGACGTCACAGAGACTCCCCTCCGATTTGATAGACATGACAAGGAAGGTTCTATGATAGCACGTTATCGTGTGCGGACCCAAACTTGCAGTGATGTTCCTCGCTGGCCTGTTATGTCTGGCGCAAGTACGTATCCGTACGGCGTTGACACTAGTGGTCGTTTGGGCTGGATCCGACCGGTTGGTAATCCAGGCGGCGCGTCCTCGCCTGCGTGCGGAGTACCGCAGCGCATGCAGTTAGTCGCGGTGGGAACGCAACGTCAAGGGCCTCGTGCGTCTTACACTCATCGGCGCAATAGAAACCCGAAGATGCAAGTTTGCTCGTTGGGTAACCTTGACGTCGTGCGTGCCCTTCCAGAAGCGATAACGATTTCGTGTGTTTCCCCCGTTCTCTCCCTCTCGGATGCGTCTTTCGGAAAGCTTTCTCCGAGGACTCTTCGATGATCAGTGGATGGGAGGTTCGTCCAAACGTCCATGACCGTAAATCTCCCATTTCGATCCGGCGAGTATTTCATGGGCAGGGGTCCCTTGGACATCTCCAGGCTTGGGACGGTGCCCAAAAGCTTGTTAGCGACTGACGTGGTGACGCGTCCAGGAACGTTGAAATAAAATGCTACCTTGCGAGGCTAAGACAGCGTTCTCGGACCGAGGCCGCTCTTATTCAATCCGTATCGCAAGACAAAACGTCTCAAGGACGGAGGAGGCGTCCCTAATGCCGCTGTTGCACGCTCCGGGATCCTTGTTGAGAGACTGAATGAGTGGTCGACATTCTGCCTGGGCGCATCGTTTGGAGAAGTCTCTATTCGACCATACGTCGCGAACAGGGTACTCAAGCCAAATTTGATGATTGTAGTCGAACAGCTGTCGTTCGTGACTGATACCGGTTACTTCCCTTCCCGCCTTCCTAGGGACACTCAGGTGGAAAGCGTTACCTACCTACCTTGGGCGTGCTACGCAGGCAAGAGCTGCGTGATGACTAAGTGAGGTGACCACCGCGGGGTGGCGAGCACCAGCCAGCCACGGCGACACTGACAGAAGCTACCCCGCCATCCCGCCGAAGCTCCGACTAAGATACCTTACGTTAGCATCAACACGTCCACAATGTCTGCCAAAGTGACCGCCACCGGCCCTCTGGTAAGCCAACACAACTGACTCCAAGCAATCTACTATTCCGTATGCCCTATCTGACCCATAGAACCGCAGGGCGAGGGCGAGGCTCGCTGGATCAAGCTCATCAAGATCAACTACGATGACCAGAACGGCAACTCCCGCACCTGGGAATCCGCCGAGCGCCGCACCCGCCCAAAGAACGGCGAGATCGACGGCGTCGGCATCGTCGCCATCCTCGAGAAGCCCACCGGCCCCGAGATCATCCTCCAGAAGCAGTACCGCCCGCCGATTGACAAGATCTGCATCGAGGTTCCCGCGGGGCTCGTGGACGAGGGCGAGACGGCCGAGCAGGCTGCCGTGCGCGAGCTCAAGGAGGAGACGGGATACGTTGGCAAGGTGTCCGAGACCACGCCGATCATGTTCAATGGTATGTAACATCTCAAAGAACTCAATTCTCTCCTTAGCTCAGGCGCAGCTGACGTCGATTTGCCTTCAAGACCCCGGATTCTGCAATACCAATCTCCGCATGATCCACGTCACCATCGACACCTCCCTCCCCGAGAACCAAAACCCAAAGGCCGAACTGGAAGAAGGAGAATTCATCGAGGTCTTCACCGTGCCGCTGTCCAACTTCTGGGCAGAGTGCATTCGTCTGGAGAAGGAAGGCTACGCCATCGATGCCCGCGTGGGGACCATTGCCGAAGGCATTGAATTAGCAAAGAAATTCAAGCTATAATGATGATGCATGCCCGAGACCTTTTATCCCCTTCATTGTGCCGCCGCAACTCATAATTTGCCCTCGCGCCGGAGTCCCTCCCAAAGAGCCACGGCCGCAAGACACTTTGCATCCCGCGCGCCCTCCCGCCACAGATCCTTCATCGGCACTAGCTTCAACGTAATCTTCTCTCCGTGATCCCGCAGCCCAGTCAGCTTGCCGCTCCACTCCTTTAATTGCTCGCGAGGGATCCTCTTCTCGTGGCTATACAGCGTCACGAACTCGTCACAGCCGCCGGCAGAGGGGTACATCGCCTCTGCTAAGCCCTCATCAGCTTCGTTCCCAGATGATCTGCCCGCGCCGGCCAGCTCGCTCAGGCACGTCAGTTTCGATTCGTGGATCTCCAAGCCCAGCTCCTCCTTAATTTCTTTTGCCGCCGCGCCTGCGAAGCTACCGCTGTCGTCGACCATGCCGGCGGGCAACTCAACAAATGACAGACTGCCGACCGGCACGCGGGGCTGCACCGTCAGCACGACATAGCGCTCATCGCTGTCGGGCGGGGCGTCATCGGGGATGAGCATCACCAGCATGCCGACGCTGGGTCCGCGAAGGAATATGCTGGCTGGGAGACCCTCTCCCGCCTCATTCTTGACATCGGCCCTCACCTTGAGGAAACCGACGCGGCCGGATCCAAAGATGTCAAAGGCCTGAACTGTGATGCCGCGTAGGCGGTAGGGGTCTTGGTGGAATGGGTGGTCTTTGCTCTTGGCTTGTAGGCTTAGGGAGTTGTTGAGGCCCTTGACCCAATCCTAGTTTGACAGTCAGCGCTTTTCCTCGTCCTTGAAGGGAGAACACTAGAAGTAGCTTCACACGTTAAATGGTCGGAAACCTATTAGTTGGTCTTCCGACAGGCCATTAGGCAGCTCGACCTGGATACCGCTGTCTTTCAGTGTGACTGTCGACATGGTTCGGGTAATGATGGCTGAATGCGCAGTTGGAATGCTTGTTCGTATGAGAGCTGATCGGAAATCATTCAGTTTTGATCTCGGGTTGAGACCACTTTGTCGAAACAGAAGCGCGGCGACTCTCATTTCAATGAGCTGGTCGTGGAGTGTTGACGATGATGAATTGATTGACGTCAGACCAATGAAGGGGATTGGCGGGGCTTCCTCCGACTTACCTTAGTGCCTGCCGAGGAGCTTTGACCGGGGTTGTGGAGAGCTTATCCCTGCACAACCCGGAGGCTCGCTAGTTGTTGATCAACGAAGGCTAAGGTACCTAGTAAGTTAAGCACATCTGATGCTCACTTGGCAAGCCTATAGCTAGGTCCCACTCGCCGTTTGAATTCTTTATTTTCCTCTGTTCTCTCGTTGTTAGGTCCTTGATCATCGCATTATTTACTTCAGACAAATACCCGCTTTAGCATCTAGCCCACGATGTGTAGAGAGGTAAGCGAGGTGTCTATTGTCCAGCTCATTCCTGCTTCATATGAAGCCCTGCGCAACGAGCGATGGTGCCACGAGTCTGAATCATCCTTACGGGGGTCACATTATCTTGACTGGAAGGCGCTGGCAGACCGGTGATTCCACATCAGATGACTAGAACTGCGCAAAGAGCCTATACATACCCCTTCAATCTCATTCCTGTCACCAGCAACAGCAGGCGCCTTCCTAGGTCGGTTGGTCAGGACAAACTGGCTGGGTGGTGGAATGGTTAAAAGATCGACAATACCCCCTGACAGCCTAATCGACCGGCTACGAGTTCGAGTCCGCATACGATCCCAGCATGAGCACTATAATAATCGCCAGGAGATGTAGCCATACCGGTGGTGAACTTCTTTTTTGCGTGCGTGTAGGTATCGTTGTGACGAAGTCTGTCCTAAGGTAGGTAAGCTTCTCGGCAGCATCAGCAGAATAAGAGAGAGAAGACCAAATGTCGGCTACACGAGAAGCCCGGAGACCAAGAGAATCAGTCCAAAGGTTTGTAATCGTCAATGCTTTTCCTGCCTGGATGCTGTACATGGCTACATATGCAAGTGGAACATTCCCCATAGACATATTTCGTGCAGAAAATTTACCTCAACTCCAACAACCTTTTACATGTTCACGTTCGCTGGACCACTGGCCTCCCTCTTGGCTGATTTATCCCAGGAAATTTTTCAAGTTCCCGCCAATGTTTTTTAAATCCAACAGGAACGTGTCGTGTCCAAAGAAACTCATCTCCTCGCTCAGCTCATAGTGCGCAACGTTCCTATTGCCCGCGAGCTTCAATGCCTCGGCCACTTCCCTCTGCTGCCACGCGGGAAAGAGGATGTCACTCGCCACACCAATCACGAGAGCGGGAGTGTCTCTCAGAGGCGCAAGGCCCGCAATGAGGTCTTCAGGCGGCCTGGAGGACACCTCGACGGACTGATCGGCCGTGCCGGCGTTGGATTCTGGCTGCTCCACGTAGGGCTTCTCGGGCAGCGTAAGACTGCAGGCGGCGTCATTGCGCGCGGGCGACTCGCCAGACTGCAGAAGCTTCTCGCGCTCTGCTCTCCTCGCGTTGGCAGCGAGCTGGTTCTCCCTCCCCAAGTCGAAAAGATCCATCGCCTTGCTGACATAGAGCAGACTATTAGGATCGTACGTCAAGCAGAACTTTTCTCCGGCGTGATCGAGGTACGTCTCGATCAAGAAATCAGGGCACAGCGCAGGCGGCTTGCTCGGGTCCGCCCTCCGCCTGCCGAACCTCTGCTCCCACTCCGGTCCCGACCGGTACGTGACGGTCGCAATCTCGCGCGCGAGCTTCATTCCCGCGTGCGGCGGCACCCTGCCGTAGTAGAACCCTCTGTTCCAGTTCGGGTCCATCATCAGCACCTGCCGCTGCGTGTGGCGCATCGCGATGCTGTAAGGGTGTGACCGGGCGCAGCCGCTGATGGAGACGATCCGGCCGACGCGGTCCGGAAAGAGGACGCCTGCACCGAGCGATTGCATACCGCCCATGCTCGAGCCGACGCTGGCGTAGAGCTTGTCTACGCCGAGGCCGTCGAGGAGGCGGAACTGCGCGCGCACCATGTCCTCCATGGTCAAGATGGGAAATCTTGTCGCGTACCGCTGTCCGTCTGCTGGGTCGATACTGCTCGGTCCTGTTGAGCCATAGCAGCCTCCTATTACGTTTGTGCAGATGACGTGGTATTTATCGGTATCTAAAGCCAACCCCGGTCCGATGAACTTCTCCCACCAACCGGGGTTGGGGTTGCTCTCTGTCGAATGCGCGTGAGACGACGCCGAGAGGCCAGTGTGCAAGAGAATGACGTTGGACTTGTCGGCGTTCATCTTGCCCCACGATTCATATGCGATGTCGAATTCAGGTAGAACACCGCCCCAGTCGAGCAGGAGAGGGTCCTTGCAGTGGTATACTTCTGTCGCGCCGGCGGTATAAGACGGCTCGGGGCCGCTCGATTCGTACCGTGCTTCGAGGCTCGCGGATCGGTTCTCGAGAGCGTCAAGGCATGGAAATGCCATTGCCGGATTTGACGCATCGCCGGGGCTGTTCGAAGCCTTCCGCGCCGGCTTGGAGTGGAACTGGTGGGCGCATTGTCGGTTGCCAAGAGGAGCTGCCGCCGCGACTTTGGAGCTCCGGAAAACGGAGGGAGCTTGGACGCGCGATGCTGGTGCGCGGGCCTGGCGAAGGGCCTGCGAGGCGATTCTTTGGCACTTCATCACAACAAATACTGACAGAAAATTGGCAATTGGAAATTATGAAAGGTCCAGGACCGTCTTTCAGGTCACTTGCGACAGAAATATCGACGCCATCGGCTCTCGGTTTGTAAGCGGGAGCTCCTCCGGTGACGACCCATTGTCCTCAGTCAGTGGCCAACGATGGTGTAATTTCACGTGATACTGACCGATAAGGACTCCTTATCGCATCGAGCAGGGGTCCTGTCAGTGACATTTCGCAACCCCACCATCGGCTCCATATCCCCACTGACGTCAATTTAAAGCTGCAGGCCTCCGTGCACCGACCCCGAAATGAACCTTTGGAGTTGCCATGAGCTGACGTCGCCTTCCCACGTACTTAGGTACCACAACCACAAGATCCCTACGAAACCGGCGCCTTCACATCTTCTTACCCCTCTTCCCACCATTCCTCTTTCTGAGTTCCCCAGATATCCCTCCTGTGTATCCGTACATGTCTTTCTTCTCCCAATTCCAACAATACGCCGGAACCTTTGCAACAGTAGCAGCCGGTGCCATCATCGCTAGAGCCGTCGGCATCATGCAATCAGACACCCGAGGCGACCACTCAGGGCCAAGCCTGCAGGAGCCCGGGAATTACAAGCCCTCGCACGTCGATGTCATCGTTGTCCGCGTCATGCTCGAAAAGGCCTTCAACTTCCCTCCCGAAATTCTAGACCTCGTCATCGACCAGGCCGAATACTGGCCGCATTCCGAAGCCAGCATCTATCACGCAGTAACTCCCCTTCGCGATGCCCTCCGTGTCGTAGGCACCACCGGAGACGAGAACAAGTTCATCCTGCGGTGTCCCCCCATCGGATTTCTCGACTTCAAAAAGGTCGGCCCGGCATTCAAGACCGCGCCGCTGCCGCCCAAGTCGGGCGATGGGTCCCCCGTTACGGAGCCGCTCCGCAACCTGACGCTCCTCGAACCCACCTCAAGCCCCACCGAGATCGTCTCCGAAGCCCCGAGAGAATACTTCATGGGGTCCATGAAGGCGCCGCCCACTCTGACCCACCCGGTGCGGAAGATCGTCTTCAAGTTGCGGAGTAAAGATCAAGGTTGGGGTGGTGGACACGGTGATCGTGGGTCCTATCGAGGATCTTGGTCCTGGTTCGAGGCTGGCTTGGAGAAGTTCGACAAGGAGCGTACCTGTAAGCTATCCTTCTGCTCATGGAACGAAACCCTGCTAAGCACTAACGAACAGGTGATGGATCCTGCAAGATAGCAGCGGAAAGCTCGGATAGCGAGTCCGAAGAGGCACCCGTCATCAGCGAAACGAACCTGTGCACCTGCGGCCTTCAGTCGATATATCCTCCCGTCCTAGCGACCGCCGACGGGAAGCTTGCCTACTCCCATGCTATGCACCCGCTTGAGAACCTCAAGATACAAACCAACAAGACTGCCAACAGGGACTTTATGGACCATGAGGTGGTATGGTCTTGGACCGACGACATCCACCCGGAGTCGCCCGAGGCCGATCGGCTAGCTGAGATAGGTCGGGGCAAGGGCACAGGGACTGGAAAGTTCGTGCGCAATTTGAAGCTGGGAGATGTGGTCACGGTATGGGGCAAGGCGAGGTTCGGTGGCTGGGCCAACTACGTGGAGAGCGTCAAGGTTGAGATTTACTGGGCTGTTTGAGAGACAGTTATTGCAGCGTTTACGATCCGCACCGGTCTGTATACTATTCCACCTAATATTCATGTTTCATGACCACCGAAACGTAATTGTCGCCGCGCACAGCGATGCCTCTCAGAAGGTTTGCCATGAAGTAGTACCCGAATGAGAGCCTGTATGTGATATTTATGCCTTGCCAGACCGTACTTCAATACCCTTCATCCAGCACCGTAAGCCCGTCGTAACCCGACTTCAAGACCTCAGTATCCACAACGAAGACTGCAACAAGCACCGCACGAGTCTCGCTGCTAGGATTTTCTCCCACTGTATGATGACAGCCGGGCAGCTCCATGAAGCTTTCCCCCACCTCGTATACCTTGGGCGGATTCCCGTTCATGCCACTGAGAAGCTTGCCCTCGATGACATGGACCACAACAGTGGCGCCCGCGTGTCGGTGGGGAGGAGTGGCACCGTTGGGTGGGTAGGTTACTTCGAGGCCAACTATGGATTTTCCCTCAGCGTTTGCTAGTTTGTAGTCATATAGGACTTTGACTGTTTCGCGGGGTCGAGTCATGCTTGAGTTCATCAGTATTAACACATGTAAAAGGTCTTTGTATCGTTTAACTGACCTAGCTGTCGGTCTCTTCGATTCGATGTATAGGATGATTTATTTAAAGTGTTGAATTTCTTTCTCCTGATCGTGCGACTCAAGTGAAAACAACTAGATTGGTTTGAAGACAGTCGTATTAAATAAATTGAGCACGAGCGCCGGACACAATGAGTGAAGTTCCCGCTAGCTCATCCCATTCTTCCATTTTGCAGAAGCCCGACCCGGGTCGCCGCCGTTGGGGAAGTGGATACCCGAGTTCATGGATACCCGGGGCGGGTGGTACGTACTTGCGGGTACCCGCAAGCGCCGTCAACGAATTCCCGCCCGAACGGGTTCCCGGGGGGAGCATCAGCGAATGCCGAAGAGATAAAGCAAGCAGAATCGTACCCGAATTCGCAGGTGAAAACAATCGCACAAGCTACCTTACGCTATATAACGAGTGCTTTTCTGTAGCACGGAAAAGCAATTTACACGTAACGCACCCGCCTCTCGTTCCTCCCCCCATCAGCGGCACTTCACTCGCCTCACAACAACCCCAGCTCTGAAAGCACAATGACGAATAAGATGAAAGCAGTCCAGATCATGAGCGACAAAAACTCTCCCAAAATCACTCTCAATACCGATATGCCAAGGCCCACGCTTACTGACGCCGAGATCCTGGTCCGGGTGCACGCTGCTGGGGTCACCGGCGATGAACTCGGCTGGCCCGAGCTGTACGAAACCGCATCCCGGATCCCCGGCCACGAGCTATCAGGAACTATCGCCGAACTCGGCCCAGATTACACCGGAAACCTTTCCATCGGCCAAGATGTCTACGCATTCACATCAGCAGACCGTGGGCAATGCCAAGCTGAATACGTTACATGCTTGCCAGGCGAGGTTGCTCCGAAACCGACTTGCATCTCTTATGTTGAGGCCGCAGCACTTCCGATTCCAGTCTTAACGGCATGGGAGGCTGTCGTCGACCATGGGAAGATTAATACAGATATGACTGTCCTAGTCACCGGGGCCTCTGGTGCCGTTGGCGTCCTTGCGGTTCAGTTGGTTGCCCAGCTTAGCGGCGCTCGTGTCATTGCGCTGGCTTCACCGCGACATCACGAGAACTTGAAGCAGCTAGGTGCCGAAGTCTTGGACTACAATGACCCAGGCTGGACCTCCACAGCCGGGGGTGTGGATGTCGTCATAGACACAGTTGGCGGGAGTATCCTGAGCGATGTATGGAAGGCCGTGGCGGTGGACGGGATGATCATAACTGTTGCTGATCCACCGCCTCCTTGGGCATTCGGAGGCACGGTACCGGAAGAGTCATTTGCGCGACCTGGAGTTCGACACAAGTACTTTATTGTATCTCCCAATGCTGAGAGGTTGTGTAGGGCATCTGAGATGGTTGAAGCGGGTGCCTTGAAAGCTCTGGCGGTGAAGTCATTCCCTTTTACAAAGGCGAAGCAAGCTTGGGAGTGTGCCCAACAGAGGGGTAGAGGTCATAAAGTCGTCGTTGAGTTTTAGTAGATATACACACACTGGAATCTTGTTACTTAGCAGCATCATGGAAGATCCAATTTCAAGAGTGCCAAGTCTTCCCCTACACAATTAGCTGTGCGACGTGGACACCCAATGCTTTCGTTGATTTCTCGGTCGAGGACTCCCACTAAGTTTCGCATGAAAATCCTCTAGCGAAGTTTCTTTTTGACACTGCCCTCATTGAGGTCATTCTAAACGTAACTAAATGTCACTTTGCACCCAATGTGAAAGCTGCGAACTAATACCCTCCATGTTATACCAGCCGCAAACATCATCCATGGTACCCAGCGAGGCGAACACCTCACTCTCGCTGCTTGACATACTGGTCTGGGAATTCGAATTCCCCGCATCGCCTTTATCAGTCACGGCAAGACTTCCGGCAGTATCTGTGGCAGTCCTCTCCCCATTCAGCCTGGGTTTGAGTCCAAGTACATGCTGAGCAATCGTCTGGATCTCCCGTACGTTCTTTGCTGTTCTGGGCCACACTTTCCCCAAAGTCTTGAGGCAACCGATCGTCATCCGGATCTGATCTCGCGCGACAGCGAGCTCTTTTCCCTTGAGTAGAAAACTGCAGGCCGATAGCAGCGCCAATGTACCTTCACTTACCATACAGGTGGTGAATGGAGTGTGATGGAATCGTTCGGTTGGTAACGCCAACAGCCTCACCTGTGCTTGCACCGCCCGAAGAACTCGGACGGTGTGCACATTGACAAGCTCTGTCTCGGGATTCTCTTGAGGAGGCTCCCTTGCACAGCTAGAGATGTCCTCTACGGTATTGAATCTCAGGTCTGATAGAGGTCGATGTAGACCGATGGTTGCTCTGATGCATCGGACGAGTGTCAGCTGAGACATGCTCTACAAGAGATTGAGTACTTCACCTTACACGTTAATCAAAAGATGAGCTTGGAACATGAGCTCATCAATCTCTCCAGTCTTGGACATGATATGGCGACGATCTTCTGGCAGCAGTAATGACCAGCCGTCGATGATTGAGTCTGCTTCTTCAATCATACGCATAGAGTCCTCTCTGGCGAACAATTTCGGTGTCGTAGATATTGCCAGGGCAGCGCATTTTACAGCGCCGATGAGGTATGCAAAGGAAGAGTAGGACGTGTCCTCCGAACCGAACTCGCGGAGGTCGAACTCTTCGAGAGTCTGCGGTTCCGGAATATCCTTTGATTTGTGAGTTCAGTGCGAATGATCCCTGAAATTTTTTGGGCAGGAATAGCAATTACCCCAGATTCGTACTCTGACTCCGTGCAGGGTAGTTCTACGCTTGAGTCTACCTCCACGACTGCGAAGTTCATTGTTCCGAGAGTCCCAGCGTAGTAAGCATCGATGATATACAGCATCCACCACGTCCGCCTCCAGCATTCCATCAACACAGGAGACTCGGCTCCATGAGTTGCTGCGAATTCCTTTTGGAACATTTGCAGGTCGAGGACTAAACGGACTGCGAGGTCCATCTGATGCTTGGCCTCGGTCTTGTGGCTGTACCAGAACAGGGCTATGGAGTAAAGTAGCCGGCATTGCACAATCACCGGGTCGTTCGGCGCCGGCTCAGAAAGTCGACTTTCGACGTCATCTTGAAGCTCTGAAGACCATTTTCTGGCAGCGTAAATGTGTCCTACAAGATGCATAGTGCTTATCAGTGGTCTGAGTCGTTCTATCCAGTTAGGATCTTGACGAAATCTCGTAAAGTGCTCCTGCGGTAGGAGAAACGGGTGGAGTTTGTGGAAATTAGTGTAATATGCGTTTATAAGTGCGTCATTCTCGAGATCATCTGGTCGTATAGTCGAGTTCGCGGGCGGAGCCGATGCAGGGATTTGATTTTCGAGACCAACATCATCGAAAATACTTAAGTCAAGGTTCAGCTCAGCGAGAGAGTCTTGACCGAATATCTGTGAATCTGTTGATTGCTGCGATGGGAGACTCGTTGGTGACTCGGAACTGCTATTGCCGACACAATTTGCGACGGCAAGGCGCTTTCTTCGTTCAGCAAGCGCTACACGATCCAAGCCGCCCCGGCGTGATGGGGCATATTGGCAGTCCTTCGCGGCGGTAGCACATCTGTCGCAATGAGGTCGTTTTCCGTCGCACTTCAAGTGTCTCGAGCGGCACGGCAGACAGGCTACCGAGGAGCGAGATGCTGCACCGTTCGAATGAGCGGGTGCGACAGGGACGGTCATCGGTGCATGTGTCAGCGGGTCTGTGAAGTTGAAGTTAGGACGAAGTACGGGTGTCCGCCGGCCGTTTTGACGGCTGCGGGGACTCGGGTATTCGGGGACCCGTTGTAAGTCAATAGGTTACCCGATGTAAGCCGGCCGCTACATTCGCGACAAAGCCGTGGAGCTAAGCAGATTAGCGTGAGAGAAGTCAGCGACGGCGCAACAGGAACCCACTGAGAGGAGATGGGAAAATAATGTGTTAGTACAAGCACGCGGGAACAGGGATATTCATAGTAAGTAATCGTATCTAGCATTGAACAGGAGGTGTTGGTGAAGTCTGATGCTGGCAGCAGTGCATACTAAGAATCTGCGGACTGCGACAGGTTTGAGATTGAACAAATACATATAACCCATACAATCTCACTCGCATGGCAGTTACTATCTTGTCAATTCAGCCGTCCACGGCAAGTCTCAATTTCTAGCAGTTACTCATACAAATATGTCCGGCAGGATTGTCGTCATTGGGGCCGGGTTCGCAGGTGTCTGGAGTGCCCTTGCTGCCAAATGTCTTATCAACGTCCACAGCCAGACTGAAGCATTCAAAGTCAATGTCATAGCTCCACAGCCATATTTTGTCATGCGATCACGACTCTACGAAGAGGATTCGTCAAGCATGAGCTAGGATCTCGAACCACTATTCAAGGCATCCGGCATCAAGTTCATCCATGGCAACATCGATGACATCGATGTCCAATCCCCTACAGTCTCTTATAGGTCCAGCACAGGCACAGAGCATCTTACCACATATGACCGTCTAATTCTTACCGCTGGAAGCTCGGTCATACGCCCAGAGCAAGTCTCTGGACTTGCGCAGCATGCGCATGATGTAGACTCGCTAGAAGGCGCACTCAAGCTCGAAACGCACCTCAACAGCCTTGGCGCCTACCCACCCACTTCCTGTAACTGTTTTCTTGATCTTGGCGCATGGGGTGCCGTTATTACGGGTGGCTGGGAAAGAAAAGTGCGACTGACAGGGAGCTGGCGAAGCAGGCTAAGATGTAAATCAATCAGACGTTGATATATACGCCTGAGGACTGTCATCGGGCGCTAGAAGCGGCCACACCCGTCGGACCTGACTATGACGAATTATTCAAGAAAATCATGGAGGCCGTTCAAAAAGGTTTGATTTCGTGAGTCGATGATTTGTGTAGAATCTAGTGCTTCAATCTTGTGAACCGGCCTGCATGTATCGTCAGGTAGTGATAGCGTATGATTGTTCGAAGATACATGTAGTCTTCATCCTAAGTCAATCTTCGTGCGAAGAGTCCATATGCATTTGTGCATACGCCTTAAAGATGTCTCAAGTGGACTGCGAGAGTCGAAGAGGGGTATTTGATATGATTGCTACTCTTCAAGCGGATGCCAGATCCCTGGAATATTCCATTGTTAAGCAACGGATGGCATTGCCGAAAGGATCTTCAACTGAAAGTACAACCTTTAGAGATCTTTCTCCACCTCATCCGCAATCTCATTGATCTGCTCAACAAACTTTTCCACCTCAGTGATGAAGGCCGAATGTCCACCAGGATTTCTCAGAACTCTCTTAAGCGTCGGGATCGTCGAGATGATTTGCTGTTGTGTGGCTGGAGATATCGTCTGGTCTTTCTCGCAAAGGATGTAGTAAACGGGAACCGTTAGCTCCTCCGAACCGACAGACACCGGACCCAAGAGAGCCTCTTGTGACTGCGGCAGCAATGTCGCCATGCACTCATCGGCTAGCTTGTCGCCCATGTCAGGGCCGTAGAACGCGACCTTGGCCTTGGCGTTTGCCATCACCAGGCCATCAGCAATATCGACAATATCCAAGCCAGGGGGAAGCACGCTCAGTGCGCTGGCGCCAGCCTTAGGGGGCATGTTGGCTGTAACGAAAACGATGGCTCGGATGCCGCCCTTGAGACCCTGAGCTACTCTTTCCTTGACCGAGTAGCCTTTGGCTGCGATGGTCAATGGGCTTCCGCCATATGAATGCGCCAATGCAAGGAACTCTTTGCCCTGTTCCAGGTAAGGGGCAAGTTCGGCTTGGATATTCCGGGCATCATCGTCAACGGTGATCTTGGGATCGGTCCCAACACTGGGATGGCGGACAGCAACAACTGGAGAAAACCCGGCCTTCTCGAGCCGAGCTTTGGCGAGGTCAAAACAAGCGGGGAGGTGGAAGCCCCCGTGGGCAAAGACAATACCCAAAGATCTGGATGCGTGTGATACTGCTGCCATTGTGCTTTCAAGCCACGTTGATTTCTTTGGTGATGGTTGGTGTGATTTGAATCGAGAACGTGTCTTTGGAACTTTTACAATTCAGTTCCTGCAAGTGTTCGGTCTTGTTGCTCGGGCAGACAAATCTGACTCAAGATTGAGATGCGAGGGAAATGTTGATCATCTTATGGACGGGTCCCAAACTTCCATTAGTCTTAACCTTGTAGACGTGGTGGGACAGGAGAGTCGCTTAATGATCCGTTGCAATGTGGCATTTCTTCAAATGGACGAAACCGCAGTAGCGACCGCCTTCAATTATGGGGATAACGCGAGAAACTACGCCCAACCATTGATAAGGGACCGCTTTCAACTAGGTGTTTTTTAAACGACCAATAGCCTCATCTTTGATGTGTTCCTCTAGCTCTGGTTCGCGACCACTTAGATGAGATCTGTTAATCAATCAGGAAACACCGAGATTCTAGGGACCGGCCAGATAGATAATAACTCTGGCAACGCCAGAAGTTGTGGGTAAAATTCCTGAAAAGATAGCATTTGCTGTTCCGAGCTTTGAGAAAGAGAGTTTGCTTGACTCGGGATGAACGATTACATGCGGCATCGTGAAGATTTATTGTGGTGCGGCCCACGGATCGCGGCATCGTGACGAATGGAGTCAAGGGTGAGAGACATGGGTCCCAGGTACCGGATCGAACGGCGCAGCTCCGCGCGCAACACCGGTATGATTTCGGAATTATACTCGCTAACAGCGCAGTTCAGCAAAAGAAAGGTCCTTTTCCGATTAGTTTTCAATTTCAATCTGTGCTAATGATACGTTTATATCATTTTTACTTACAAAGTTCTCACCGCTCCTTGACAGTGCTTCCCGCTGGCATTCGGCAAACTCCCTTCCCGACAGACAAGTTGTGCTAGGCCCGTCACAAAGCACGATATGTCGGACGTCACATATTCTTCTGCAGAAAATATTGCAAGGGTTCTAATTGTGCCTCATGCTGTTTTCAGTGTTCTAGCAACCGTCTTGGTTGGCATGCGACTCTATGTCACGAGAGTTGTAGCCAAGTCGCCATGGACTTTCGACGAACATGTCGCCATCGTAGCACTGGTGAGAGGGCCCGTATACCAAAGCACTTGTAGCGTTGAGAGCGTTCTGTCGCTGACAGATGAATATACAGATTGCCAATCACATAATGCTGATTACTGAAGGGATCTGTAAGTTATTGTTTGCAGTTCACGCGCAAATCCTACTATCACGGCCCATAGTCCTCTGCGCCTGCCCAATCATCGCACCATTGTACTGACAAAGCTTCGCAGCGGTAGAGTACGGTCTCGGAACAGATGTCAATCAAATAGTCGAATTATATCCAGGTGGTGTTTCAGCATTCTTGAAGGTATGGCATATCGCTCTTTGAGAGAACAATGAGGACATGTAGCTACCACAAAGCTTTCCCACGAATGTGCGCCAACTGCTGAATATTGACTTACAATTTCATAGTGTATCCTCGTCTTGGAAATTCAATATGCTATTGCATGTCCGCTGTCCAAGATGGCAGTCCTAGCGATGTTCTACAGGATCTTCTCCGCATCCAAAATGCTTCGGTATAGTACCTGGGCTATCACTGCCATGCTTGTTGGATGGTGTATTGCCGTTATTATGGTCAGCAGTAAGTCGAGCTCACAATGAGGCAAAGACGAGTCAGAGCGATTTGGTATTGACGCCGCTGCATAGTCTTTTCTTGTACCCCGATCCCTCGGTTTTGGGATCGAACCATCCCTGGAACATGTATCAACTCGAGCAATTTCTTCATCGGAATCACAGTTCCGAACATTATCTTTGACATCCTTACGGTCGTGCTCCCCATTCGCGAAGTCTGGGCACTACAAATGGGGAGGGAGAAAAAGCTTGCCATCAGTGGTGTCTTTCTCTTAGGAGGCAGGTAAGTTGACTCAACCCTCGCCGTGAAGCCACAAAGCGACAATGACCAACACGATTTGTTCGAACAGCGTCGTGCTCGCATCCGTCGCACGTCTCATTCTATTCGCCATCTATCGTCCTGGCCAAGGGACCACTGGAAACAACATTAGTCAAACGGTCATTATACCTCACGCTGCATCCGCCGTGGAGACTTGCCTAGCTATAATTGGAGCCTGTCTCCCGCCATGCGCACCGCTTTTCCGGCGTTGGCTTGGTGGAGTTGTTAGCGTCGTTAGTTCGGGGGAACGGTATGGCTCCCGCTCAGCCAGGAAGAAGGGGCCTAACGGACAGGGGAAGTCCTCGGCCTCTAAAAACTTCAACACTCTCGTCACAATTGGCAAAATTTCCAACCGCGGCGGTCATATGAAGCGATCGAAAAAACAGGATGATCTTGACGGCTCCTTCGAGCGCCTTGAAGACAGCAATAGCCTGCAGGGCTCTACTGATGGGTTGTACGTGAATGGCAATGGCGCTGCAAAGAACGAAGGCGGTATTCACTCCGAGAATGGCATCCATGTCCAGCGAGATGTTTGCGTCGAACGCAGTGGTAAAGTCACGTCAAGAGATGTTAAGGACTGGGTTGTGGGCGACATACACTTAGATGACATGCCCGCTCAAGGTGCATCTTCTAAGCAACAAGTGGGCCTTGCTAGATAGCGGTCACGCTGCAATTTTCAATATATTATCATCTTCAAAGAGGAATTAATGACACATTCTAGTGAAAAGTTCCTCGAAGTTGGAACTAGTATGAAACCATGAGTATTGATGTTTTTGGATGCGAGCTGACATGTATAGTAGTCATTCCGCATTCGCGGGCCGGACTTGAAACCTAGCACAACCTCTTAAGTCCGTTCCGAGGCACAACTCTTCTCAGCGATCAACGGCCATCAGCAGACTAATGTACTTGGAGAAGTTCGGCTAAGTTTAACTCCATCGGATGATGCGACCTACTCATCATTTGGGACGAAGCTGGATGCTCGGGGTTTACGCGGGGTTAATGGCAAATTGAGTGAGGGCAGAAGCAACACATGTACGGATCACCGCTGCTTGGTAACTACTACCTAAGGAAATATGGGGGGAAGTATAAAGCTGATTGAAAGTCCCACGGACGAACTGTAGATATTTGCTGTTCTTCTCAGAACACAACTGTTCACCCTTGAGCGCGAAGTTCCATCGCAGCAGCTATCGACCCCTCCCCAAACCAATCATTCATCTGCGACAATGGCTCTCAAATACAACAAACTTGCAGGCAAGCATGTTCTCATCATAGGCGGGTCATCAGGCATTGGTCTAGGCGTCGCAGAAGCTTCTCTCGCTAGCGGGGCAAACTTGACAATCTCGTCTTCATCCATAGCCAAGCTCACTGCTACTGTCACATATCTGCGAAATGCCATCCCATCTTCTTCGCAGCAGAAGATTCAGAGTTTCGCAGCCGATCTCTCTGGACCAGATGCCGAAGCCAACATTGAGGCTGTCTTCAAGCAGGCCGGCCCCATCGACCACGTCGTCTTTACGGCGGCAAACACGCCTTCCTTAATCATGCTTCAAGACGTCACACCCGGTCAGATTGTTTCTGCCTGTCAAATGCGTTTCGTTGCGCCTTTGATGGTCGCCAAAGTAGCAGAAAGATATCTGCCGAAGAGCAACGAATCATCCTTCACTATCACGAGCGGTAGTGCTGCGCAGAAGTCGACGCCTGGCTGGTCAGTGATCTCTTTTCTTGCTGGTGGGCTGCAAAGTGTAGTCAAGCAGCTAGCAGTAGAATTGAAGCCTCTGAGGGTCAATGTCGTTGCTCCTGGATTCGTTGACACTGAACTTTGGGATGGTATGAAGTCGGATGAGAAACAGTTCATGGTCAAAGCTGTGGAAGAAAAAGTCCCGACGGGGCGATTTGGTACAGTTGAAGACGTGGCCGAGGCATACATTTGGCTCATGAAAGACCGCAACGTCACGGGGACTGTAGCGGCGACTGACAGTGGTGCTCTTGTTGTGTAATGGTTTGGCAAGAAGTACAACGAATTCGCAAGAATCATACGAAACTTTGGTATAACTTATAGTCCTCTCTCATGAGAGCGTAATGTGCAACTCAATTCCTCCAATCACTGCCCGAAGTAATTGTTCTCAAGCGCTCTGATCATTTGGTTATTCATGTAGAACCAACTGCTCAACTGCGATCCATAATCATCCGCCTCCATCAGATAATGCTCAGCTACCGATGAAGTAGAGCTTAATGATGGAACAATGGATGAAGGGGCTTCCTAGTTTGATTATAGAATCAGGTTTCATATGTTCAGATGCGAATACTCAAGGTGGCGATCGAATTTACAGATATGAATGTCTAAACAGTCTTAGATTTCGAACCTTGTCTCGAAAGTAACTATCGATGGCATCGTATCATACAGTTTACTGCAGGTGATCCCAGTCGCCGCACTGTCCCTTGTTCTTCTGACAGTAAGGCCAGGGGTTTCCAAAGTGTAGGCAACGGTACTTCGTTGAAGAGGTAGAATCCGCTAATGAATTGAGTTAGCCGTTGAGTGACAAGAATGAAGGAATAGTGATTAGCCGCTCACGCATGCAGTACACAGAAGCCCCGGATCCCGTGTCACACGGGCAGCAATCACGATTCTTAACACATTCGGCTAGATAATCATACGTCAGAATGCTTGAAACCTCTCTGGGAAATACTTTTTCTTTTACCGTTGAGATGCCGGTAGTGTTGAGGGTCCGGCTGAGCGCTGGCAAGAGCTACTAGTATAGCCAGAACGATGCTTCCAGCGAACTTCATCTTGGCAGTTGCTCTGGTGTGACGGTATTACTGAGGGGACTTGAGAAACCGACCTAGAGTCTAGGGATTAAGGCTAGTGGTCCTATAATAGATGGATCATGATGTCTGCGATCAAAGAGGATTAAGTATTCATTCCCTTTCTCGTAGACCTGTTGTCAATGTGTCTTTGTTGAAGGCAAGAATACCCGTGAGTTCCCCACGATCATTCGGCATGACCGGTATGGCAGTATGGGGTTCATATAGGAAGCTTTTGTAAGAGAAATGTCTGTTAGATTGTAAGTCAGATCCTAGCTTACCCTGTCGGGGTATTTTGCCGACTCCTTGGGCGCAGTTGGCTGTATAGTATAAAACTAACTAATAGACTGTGAGGCTAAGATTATGCAGTAAAGTTCCCGGAAGCCATCACGCTTTGTCCACCGATATTGCCTTTCTCACTAGGGAAGTTAACTACGACTTGAAAGAAATATCCCCAGCAGCTTGGCAGAGCTGAAAGATCCCGTGAAACCGTTATAATTGGGATTACGCATAGAGTCATGTTGTGAGATTCTAAATACAATTTGCACGTCACCTTTCAGTCGATCAATGTTCAGGAGACTGCAGTTGGAGAATTGTATGGTAGCCTTGTGCGCTCAAGGATTATTCCTAGCGTGCAAAATTCATTCAAGCTCAATTTGACCTGAAATTCCCTACAGGACTTTGAACCTATGTGAATGAATCCTGGAGGGTGTTCTAACTAGGTATTGACTTTGGAACTGGCAGTCTTGGCCACTTTTGCTACTACGTCTATTCCCGAAGTCGCCGGCCCGGGAATCGAACCCCGAAATTCAGTTGTTGACCGCTATTCCCGAAGGAAAGCCGGTGATTTAGTAAGTATCTTTCTCCTGACAAGATGCTGGGGAGCGGGTCGGTGTTTTGGGATCGGACTTTTGACCAGTCCCCCCCAATTCAGTTGAGCTTTCCTGCGTAGGCTCGGTAGCGAACACGAAACTTTATCCCCAGTAACTATCGAGAAGAAAAGTTTCCTTAGTTTCCATACTCTTGCTCCAAATGTAGATGTTCGCTATAGTATTGTCAACATGGGTACCATCGAATCAGTGCAAGGATTACGCGACTATTCTGCTACTGCGCCCTGTTCCAAAATTTTGATCGCTCGCTCCTTGGCTTGGAGAGCTAGCCTAGAGATTTGCCGGAGGAAAGTTTCTACGGCGATATTGTAAGCGGAATCGTTGAGGAAGAAATAAAAAAAAGGAATCATCAAGTCGGCAATCCAACTTTCTGCAGTCTGTGAACGGCTATCCTGTTCGTTATTAAATTTTATCAGCTCTCGGCCTTCGCGAATGAACTCTCGCGGATACGCCGAAGATAGTATGCACTGCCTCTCATAGAAAAAGGCACCTCGTACTGCCGCGCTAAAATTCTGCTGCCCTATGAAAGTCGAGTGATGCCCACTAGTCGGTGTTCAATGAGTCTAGCATTGAAGCTTGACATAGACAGAGTCTTGTTTTCGGCAGGATTTACGCAACATATTCGATATTATGGCGAGTCATGACAAAAGCCAGCAGGCAGACAGGTCGCAGAATTAGACCTTTGTGTTCAATCCGCGTGTAAGTGACGCAAAACTTGAAAGGAGGTTATAAGCCACCGCCTACACGCGTATTGGATCCGGAGGCCCAGGGCAAAAGCGCCTGGCGGATTCTACGACCAAGCTCAGATGAAACATTCCATAAACTGCTAGATGGCGCCAGTAGATCCGTCCTCGGTAGGTCCATCTCCAGTGGACTTATCTCTAGTATATCCGTCTCTAGTTTTCCACTCATTCCTACTCTATATCGAGAGTGTTCATGGGCGAATGTGAGAAAAATGAAGCCAGAGAGACATATGACTTGTTATTATTCACCACATGCTGACGAATGCGTATATGGCCAGAAGTTCAAGGGTCTTTCTGGCGTAATGCCCGCATTTTGCCCGACAGAACGCGACGAAGTCCTCTACCAGCTGGGCGCCCCCCCGCGTACTATGCGCTGACTCCAAGCCGGCCCTGACGAACCAACCACCGCTACGCGTTGAGAAAGACTTGTCCTTGGCGCAAAAAATTCACCATCAAAGAGGGATGCATTACCATTGACAAAGTTGCTACACTATAGAAACTTATGAGCTACCTACACGTCGGCCTTCAATCGTTCACCAACTGCTCTAAGGAAAGTACCTTGATATAACTTTTCGCGATCTGTTAATTGATGGGGTAAGATGGCCTTCCTCAGAAATTTGCGGCGTGGCATGAAAGAAGAGCAGATTCTTAGAGTATACTCGAATCAGGTATGTGAGATCTAGAAAAAGGATGTCATGGTGGAAGTCAAAGGGGCGCAAGGTTCAGGGTTTCGACCAATGAGGATGTAGCTTGCAGTCTCTTGGCCATTCTTATTGCCAAATACGGCAAGTCGAGGAACCAACTCGCCGCCACTTAGTGCCGCAAGGATCGACAATACTCAGTGTCCGGCGCCTTGGAAACAATGATTGCGGATGACGGTTGACGTCAGCTCAGCACTGATGAGTGGTGTCTTTGAGTCGACCTTTATCAAGGTCTTTCCTCACTCCCCAAGCGAATGTTAAGAAAGATAAAATAAACGTTGGCATCTGCCAGTTGCTCTCTCTTTGCTCAACGAACAAATCCATATCTCTCATTGCAAAATCACACCTCAAAATCCTCAACAAACAAAGATCCATTATTCACAGACAACCAACCTATACCAGTTCGCATACCTGAGAAGAGGACAATGGGCTCATCAAGCAGCAAAAACAGCGACCCCTATTGGTGGGGCTACATCGACGATGGTAAGGGCTGGACGGCGCGCCCCAAATCCGAGTACATGAAGACGCCGGCATACAACAAGCAGCTGCGCCGGCAGATGAAGCAAGAGTCTTTAGCAAAGGGTGGAAGCGGTCACATCTCCATGGCGGAACAGTCTCGGAAACAGTGATAGGATTCGCTTCGTCGAGGCCTTTACGGGAAAGCTTTGTCAGGTAGTCAGGTTGATGCCGCAAGCTTTGCTCGAGGCATGCCAGATGCCAGAATCTAGGTGCTTCATATCATCGTACCTTCGATGAAGCCATCCTGAAGAAGACTGTCGGTTTGTTGATGCAATACGGTCATTCGTTGTAGACGTTGCTCAAGGCCAAATTCCACAACAAAGACGAAGGAGAAGGTGGAAGGGTAATCAAGACAAATACGGCAAGACACTCTAAACGTAAAAGTCATTTGATACCTAAGCTTTTAGCCCCCTTCACATCAGGAGGCAATCCTATAGCCAGATGTACACTACAGTTACAACGCTCCAGACCACATCACATGGTCGTGAAAATCCAGGTCTCATTTTGTGCTCGCTTTCTCTATCCCGAGGTTCCCATGAGCGAATCATGGCCCACCACAAAATCCTCACCTCTGTATCTGCATATCCTCGTTCTTCATCTTAAGAAGAACCTTCTCCCACCTGAGATATTTACTGCGTCTTCTTGGTCACAGTCGCAGTGCCGGAAGGCGCACTGTACATCCATACAGCCGAGAACAGCACAAAGCCGGTGACGGTGGCAAAGATGCCAGACAACCAGGGCCAGGCGCCCGAGATGACGTACGAGCGAGGCCATTCATCGTGGGCCATGTGGCGGACGGAAACGGTGTTCTTCTCCTCGACGTTGGTGAAGAAGGGGCGCTTGTAGTTGACCTTGAAGTTGAAGATGCCGTGCTGATCAGGCAGGATGAAGGAGGTGGTGTAGGTGGTGGCGTCGGCGGTGCTGGTCTTGGCAGCGAGCGGGATGCGGTGGAAGGGGGAGAGCATGCTGAACTCGAGCTGGAGCTCGTCACCACTGGGGACAGTGAAGGGGTTCCACTTGTCCCAGGAGTACTCGGAGACGGAGATGGAGTAGGTCTGCTCGGGAGGTTAGCCTTTTCTTGTTCTTCTCTGAGCATCCAACTCAGAATAACTTACGACTTCGTTCTTAATGCGGTAGAGCTCGGGGTTGGTCTCGTTGGCAGCCTCGTTGAGGTAGTGCTCAATGTTGTTGACGCGAAGGACACCAGTCTCCTGGAAAGTCCAGCCGGCAACTCTCTTGGCGAACTCGCGGTTCCAGGTCTTGACCTCCTTGCCAGCAGCCGCAGACTTGATCTTGGCGTCGAACCACTTGTCGCTCAGCAACTCGGCAGATCCAACGAGAGTAAAGCGGGCGCTGTTGCGCGCCTGAAAAGCGGAGACGAGAGCCAGCTGCTCGCCGGCGGCAAACAGGTCGCTAGCGTCGACGACCTCGGCCTGCTCCTTGGGGTTGTAGCTGTAGGCCGTCTTCGGGGCGCGCAGGATCGGGGTGAGAAGCTGGCCGGCACCGAGGACATGGCCAACGCCGTTGGGGAAGGCAATAACCTCGCCGTCCTCGTGGAAGAAGTTCTTGACGCCGGCGCGGGGCGACTTGGGGGCGGGGATGGCGAGCACATCGTGCTTCTCGGAGGCGCTGACGGTGTCATAGTTGAAGTGGTCGACGACGAGGCCGGTGCGGTCGGCGGGGAGGGCAATGTCGAGCTCGGCCAGGAGGCTCACGATGGAGGTCGGGACGGTCGACTCGGAGGAGAGGGACAGCAGGATGTTGCCCTTGGCGTTGACGAACTGGAGGAGAATGTTGGGGGTCAGGTTGGGACCGAGACCTGGAGATGCCATTGTAAGTATAGACTCCATAGATCTCGAACAGCAATTGAGTCGCATACCCTTGCTCTTAGACGGGAAGAGCAGAACGTGGTCGTAGACACGCTCGCCGAGCTTGAACAGCTGCAGAGACTCGCTCTTGGGGGTCTCGTATGAGATGCTGAACCCGCGGCCTGATTTGATCAATTGGTTAGCTAATCGCATTCTCTCGTCTTTCCATTGCTCTCATTCACAAGATTTTGCATGATCTTAAATAAGCTCCGACGTACTTTCCAAATCTCCGAGGAACTTGGAGTATCCCTCCTTCTCAGCAAC